AGCAAACAATATGATATGCGGATTGTGGCAATACTCTATCCCCAGCTATGTCACCTGATCCAGACTCCTAGCACGGCGGATGGTAAGAAGACGAAAACCTCGGACACAACTTTAATGATCCAAAAACACGCGATCAACAGGCGATGCCCCGAGCTTCCAAACCCAAGTCAGTAAAAAGATGGCCGGATTTTCAATTTCTTGGAGTATCAGTAAGCCATTGATTTATTCATAGTTTGACCTTGGAGACACCGGAAGCTCGCTAGCTCACATAAAACTACAGCGTTTTTTGGGGGATATTGATTTCCACAACAATGACATTTTAATTGAAGTTGCTGCACAAAGGCTGGCCCATTTTTCAGTTGCTGCGCTACTCAATGTGCGATTCATCGCATGCTATATTGGCATCCAACTTGTGCCCAAGTGTGTTTCACCTAGAATAAACTGTCGAAAACAGAATGAAACCGTGAAACGGGTTAGTCTTCTTTCGAGCTGACTGCTCGAAGTAATACGACCTGAACGTCCCATGATCGAGCCTTCAATCTTTTGTTCCTGCCGTCTACAATTCAATGCCAAACGTTCTCAAGCAGACTCCATTCTTACTGGCGCCTTTCAGAATTGCCCCTTAGAGTAAGTAGTATGCTAGCCCACACTCTACCGTCACTCAGCTCACAAGCCTTTTCCGCTACTGACCATCAAAGTAACCTCGGTCACGCCAAATCAACGCCAGACGCTGGCGGGCCCTCACTCATTGGAAAGGACACTTATGATAATAAACCTCCTTCTTATCAAGTTCCTCAATGGAAAAAGGTAGTTAAATTTCTCTCCATGCATCTCACATCCGTCCCGTCTTGATGCACTGCAACCATGCCTGGCTTCCACGGCCTAATCTCGATTAGAATATGTTCGGGGATGTCCCGTGGAAAGCCACCAATTCAGTGCTCTCATACAATAAACGTCTCCACCGAAATAGGTCATCCCACACCAACTTGTCCCGGCTAACCTTAGCCACTTGCATGGATATTCGATCTAAATCTACCCTTTCTTCCAAACCTTGTCTCCGCATTTTTCTCGCTTTCGTCTCCACCCATCAACAGGGTGGTCATTCGCGTAAGCTGTTTCCTCGAAGTTTTCTACCGGGAACACTTCGAACCTACCTCACAACCCAAGCATGCACTACATCGTCTTTGCCATCTCGACTTGCAATGTTAGGTGCGCTGTCGATAGTCTCTTCCCAACAATATAGCTTCTCGGTTGAGAGAGCAGTCCCCTCACAAACATCCGCTGGACATCAAATGCTTTTGTCACGATTCTATGGACATTGCTGCACCATTATACATCACGTGTATGACATTCGACTCATCGTCTAGGTAACATCTATTTAAAGGTTTATCGTTATGTATAAATCTTTTAATCTCATCTATACCTGTTGAAATGCTTGTCCACAAACCGCTTCAGCCTTTTCAACAAACTCGGCGATGTTAAACAGTCAGCTTACCTTCAACAACCGTCCATAATCGCACTCACAGAGACCTGGCTTACACCAGATGTCTCTGACGCGGAGATCTCGATAGACGATTACTCCATTTTTCGAGCTGACTCAAAACGAGGGAGGGGCTGATGGGTCGCTCTGTACTTACATGCGGCCCTACCGATTCCCCTTGTCCCCTCTGACACCACCCCCGCACCATTTTGCGATGCACTGTGGGTCCAACTCCCGTTGCGCGGGCCCGATTCTCTAATTCTCGGCGTGGTCCACCGTAGCCCTTCGGTTCCCCGTGAAGATGACCAGTTCCTAATACAAAAATTTTGAGCAACTCTCCTCCAACTACCACTTAACTCACCTGCTGCAGGTAGGTAACTTCAACGCCCCAAAGGCCTCCTGGATTGCACTCCAGCGCGTCGAATCAGGCGGACTTTTTGCAGCGGCGCTGTTTGAAGTCGTTAAACGGAGCGCTTGGGCTCAACATGTCGTTGCACCCATCAGATACCGCGTGGGTCAACCACCATCCCTCTTGGATTTGGTCATCACCAACGAAAGACACTTCGTTGATCAGGTAACAATTAACGCTCCACTGGGACATAGCGAATACTGTGTGCTGACCTTTGATTTCATCTGCTATTGGGCCAGAAATCCCAAACATCA